CAGCGCTACGCTTAATAACAGGGACAGAGGGCAGCTCCAGGACGGAACAGAGAGAGGAGCACGGAGGGGGGAGGACAGTGTACGAGTGTGTCTGTGGTCACCTTATCCATTTGATCAGACGCAGCCAACCTGCTCTCCTTCCGCCATAAATTCTTTCTAACTCCCTAAGTCCTTCACTCAAATTCGAATCCATCAACCCTGAAATCAGTTTTTACAGCGAGGGTTTCAGCCATTGTGTGGCGTGTGTGTGTACATGTAAGTATTTGAGAGAGAGAGAGAGAGAGAGAGAGAGAGACAGGGCAGCGGAGTGAGACAGGAGGATCTGGCTGGTGACAGTGATGTTCAGCTGCTTCCTTCACTCTGGTCTCCAGGATTACTGTGGGTGAGAAAGCTGGACTGGACTCGGCACGCACCCACCTTCACCTGTTAATGTCTCAAATTCTTGAAAACAGCTGCGATTCTGACCCTCAGGGCCTGATTGTTCCTGTTTCTCACCTCCCCCCCCAAAAAAAACCCTGGAAAGAACCCTGGAGGTGTGCCGGATTTCTGGGTGAACCAGCCCTTAAAGGTTATTCCACTCAGCTAAATTGAAAATGCTTCAGCAGCCCCAGAGCCCCCGCACAGTGAAATCTCCTTCTCTCCTCACATATCCGGATGAATATTTATGAGCCATAAAGTCTGGCGCTCGAGTAGCCCATGAAATGAACGCGTCAGAGAAGAAGACGCTAAAAAACAAGCCGGCAGGAAGTGAGGCATGTCACTCTGAAAGTCACATCCTGGTGCAGCCAGGGCACTGCAGGCTATTACATCTACTGTACTCTCTTTGCAAGTGTGAAACAAGTTCGCCTCGACTATGGACACAAACTTTATGGAAAACGTATCCAAGGTCAAAAATGATGACAAAGATATCAGCCAAAAGACGCAGCATCTGATTGCACCGTCATGACGGCAGCACATTGGAGTGGCTCTGTTATGTTAGCTCTTTTCTGTTCACCTTTCTTTTTATTAATGTTTTGGTAGAGCCGTTGCATGTTTGGATAATTATTTCTTCTAGTTTTGAATGCTGTGCCGCTAGAGGGAATTGTCCTCTTTATAACAACAGGGAGCAGCTGATTAGCATCTCAAAGACTCAGATAATACCTGAACTTCAACCCCAAATCCCAGAGGAGCAGAAAATGAGGCTTCGTGGATGCAGATCGAGACGCCAGAACAAAAGGGAAAATAGGCTCGAACCATCTTTTCCATTGATTATAACGGGCAAAGGATCATTACCTCAACTCCTGCGTCTCTCTGACCATATGGCCACAGGGAAATTTACTTCAAGAGGAGTGGCAAAAGCAAACGAGGTGAAGCATTTCATGTCACTTCTTACTCGTTTGATTTGTTTCTACCAGTACGATTACACACTTACTCAAACTATTCCAGTTGATTTTTGTTGACCAAATTATTGACATTCCAACGTCTCAGTTGAAATGAAAGACAGCATAAATTTTCTGTTCACTTTTTTAGGAGGCGAAAGAGAATCTGTCAGTACAACCAAGGTTTCCAAAGCCAGCGAATTTAGACGCAAAAGCATTATTAATGACTTTATTATAATGAATAGATTTGTCGACTTTATTCATTACTTTTAGTCATTCAAACAACCCTAATAGATTTCATCAGTCACCTGGCTGAGCAGAGCAGTTGCCTTGCTGGATCCGAGAAGTATATCGGGCGTATCGCCGCCCAACAACCAGTTTAGGTTTCGTGCAGACTGTGTACTTGGCGCTGTACCATAAATTCTGCACACACACACATCTGTGGGAGAAACAGTTTTGTGTGTCAAGCTGTGTAACAATGCCAGAGCTGGATCATTAAGAACAAAAGTTTGACACTCAGAAACCTTTAGAGATTCTGTGAATGTCGGCGTGAGGCTGAGAGGCAGCAACCAACAACGCGCAATGTTTGCCACTGAAGGAAAAACAGAAAGTATACTCAGAGAAATCAATGTGCATGGCACATTGTCAAACGTCTGGAGCCAAAAGGATTTTCTCTTTTATCATTTCAGGGGCATCCACGGACTGAAAGATGTCTGTCACTCATTATGGAAAGTGACTCAACACGTCCACCTGCTCCACCACAGGTGACGTTCCTACAGAAACAGAGGAAGAGCAAAGTGAGAAGCGTCTTCATGCAGTTGGACGGGGAGGTGTAGGTGACGGACACGCTTCACACATCCACGATATTTTTGGAAGGTGAAGAGTGATTCATCGACTGTTTGTCTTCGCAGGTAGGCAGAGTTGGGTTTGGGTACAACAGCGGGGTTGAATCCTTTCAGGAAAATGGACGCCTTGTCATAAAATCATTGGCAGAAGCAGTCTGAGGTTTCACTGATTTCACTGCAAATACTTGGAGTTAAGCGGCGAACCAGAGCGGGCCTGATTTAAAAAGGATTTATTGATTATTGATCTGTGTTTACAATGTGCATTTCGTGCCAGATTTTTAAATATCAGCTGAAGATGTTGATTGGGCAGCAAGACAGTCCTGAGTTTGAGTCCTGATCTGAGTTTATTTCTGGATGGAGTTTGCATCGTCTCTTTCGGCAAATGAGGGTTCTCTCCAGGCATCCCAGGTTTCCCCACAGCCCAAAAACATGACTGTTAGGTTAATTGGTTTCACTGAAAAAAAAATGTTTGCGTCTGCAGAGATCATCATTCAAACTACTTCTCAGCTCCTCAGATCGTTGTTAAACAGCTTAAAAGGAGAAGAAGCAAGGAAAGGAGGATCTTAAAGAGACAGAGGCCAATTTCAAGGCGTTAGATACGGCTATGAAGCGGAGTCAGATTTTTTGCTGTTATTTTTGTTTTTACAGCATTTTACTTACTGAAGGTGACAAGCTGGGTTCACACAGCAGAGGATGCAACTTAAATCTGGCTTTTTGTGGTCTCAACTGCCCAATTCTGATCTTTTCACCCCCACCCACACATCCATCCATCCACCCACACATCCATCCATCCACCCACACATCCATCCATTCACCCACACATCCATCCATCCACCCACACATCCATCCATCCACCCACACACATCCACCCACACATCCATCCATCCACCCACACATCCATCCATCCACCCACACATCCATCCACCCACACATCCATCCATCCACCCACCCACACATCCATCCATCCATCCATTTATCCCTTCTGGGGTTGGGAGGAGTGCTGGTGCCTATCTGTCTCCAGCAAACGTTTCGGGCAGGAGGTAGGGTCACCCTGGAAGGTCGCCAGTCTGTCGCAGCCCCACTCAAACACCCCGACAATATCTTACAAACAACAGCTGAAAATCATAATTATGGACTTATGAAAAAATTGAAAAAGAAGTGTGCCTCATAACATTTAGTGTAATTGAGATTTTACTGCTTTCGTTTTCCGACCACAATTTGAGTTGGAAGTGTAACCTCTCTCGTTTTAGCTGTTGTTTAACCACCTCCAGCTCTGTTTTGTCGCTTGTTGCAGCTGCGGGATTAGTCAGGTGCAAATCATCTGTGTTGTGTGATTGATTGGAGCAGAGCAGGGAGCCATGTTTGCACATATGTTGCGCAATGCTCTGTACTTGTTAGAGTCTAATTAATCTCTTTCTTTCCTTCTTCAACAAGGTCAACTTGCTCCTTCTCTTTGTAGACTGTGATAAGTCGAGTAACACAACTGTATACTGTGCATTCTGGTTTGATTTTCTCTCTGCTGTATGCACTGTAGGTTGATTAAACACGCCCATCGAGCAAATGATTTTGGCCCAAAATTCTGGTGTAAACTCTAAAATAGCTCACATCACAATCCCACCACTCCTGGATCCGACTACGCATCCTAACAGACGTCTCTGCAGAAGTTGCAGTCGGTGCTCCAAAGAAGATCATTTCTATTCATTTTTATCAGCTTCACCATCTTGTTATGATCAACCCTGTGGGCATTTATTGTTGAAAAACTTTACAATGGATCCCAAGACGCCGGCGTCCATTATGACTTCCGTAAATGGAGAGCTGCTTTGTGACGCCTACGTTCTTCTTCTGCGCATGCGGGTCACTTTGAGGACATAAACCCCTCACATAGTATTTATTCAGTCGTACGATCATCCACACACACACAGACAAAAAAAAAAATCTGATTTCAGCAAAAAAAAAAAAAAAACTGGAAAATACATAATACCCCCTTTTAATTAGAAACGGTCACGACCAGCCTGGCTCCGGAGAAAGAAAAACCCGAGGAGTCACGCAGAGTCCAATCTGACAGGAGTTTGTTGTATTTCAAGAAAATGGGATCTGGTGGTGGGAAGCTGGCGACTGCCCCTCCTCCTCTCCCTGCAAGACAGTTTCCCAGCCTTCCTGTCCAGCGGTGACAACCGCTATCTGTCTCTTGAACTGGCTGTCATCCGTCCACATTAACAGGACCAGGCGCAGAGGCCCGGCCGCGGCGCGACAGCAGGCCGGGCTCTGTGGAGCGGGTAAAGATAGGACGAGGTGTCAGAGGGGAGTGCGGGGTGGGGTGGGGGGGATTCAGGGTGGAAGCTGCCAGGAGATCTGACATCAAGGTCGAGGTCTGTGTTTCAAGTTAACTGAGCCGAGTGAGGCTCATGATAAGAAAGCATGGAGTCCTTTGAAGCGATGTCTGCTCTTCCTGACTCTCCCAGCGTGGCTAACGTTATTACCAACGAACTCTATCTGGGATTTAAATCCCGTCTCATAACAGGAGCCTCCGGGTATTTGACACCTGTTATACAAACAGGCACTTTAAGGCCTCCAACACCTTATCTCACCTACACACAAGCCTCCTTTCACACGTCACTCTTCATGCTTACTCTGACTGATTCTCTTCACAGTTCTGCATGTCAAGGAAGCCGTTAAGGCGTGACACGCCTCCATACGTTTGATTTTTAGTCGCAGTACTTAATAATCATCCTTCACACCAGTTTTGTGACTTTCTTTCTTTCCCTGACGAAGCAAGCTGAGCTCTGACATCACTCACTCGCCACCTCCAGCGACGCGTTGCGGCTGACGGCCTCGCCCAGGTAGTTGCGCGCCACGCAGACGTAGACGCCTTCGTCTGGTTTGCTCCGCCGCCCGTGGACGATCCGCAGGAAGAAGAGCGAGCCGGTGGGCAGCAGCATGCGGTGGGAGCGAGGGTCCTCTCGATCCGTCTCCACCCGCTCCCCGTCCTTGTACCACTCCACGGTGGGCGTGGGCCGCCCCTCGGCCTTGCAGTTGAGGGTCGCCGGTTCTCCCTTGGACACGATCAAATCGGACGGATGCTCGACGATCCGCGGCGCAGCATCCTCCAGCCTGGGGCGAGATCCTGAAGGAACAGAAAGGAACACAGAGTTAAAGTCGGCCTTATTCTTCCTATGGACAATCATGTATTGTTATTTTAAAAAGCGTGAAAATAATTAGTGACTGATATAGTACAGACATCTAGAGTACCTGGTGGAAAAATGACTCAGAAATAAAGGTTTATGCATTTTTATAAGTAACGTGGAACCTTCTAGATCATTAAAAGGTTGATGCATAATGTGGCAGGGCACCAATGGGCAAAAATAACATGCTCAAATGTCTTGCTTCAAAAACATCTAAATTTACACACATAACTAGTTCAGACAGATCAGTTTATGCTCCCACATCGAGGTAAAATAAAAAAACACGCAGATTAAAATTTTGTACAGCTTTGTGAGGCTGAAATCTCGCAAGCTGCAAATCACCAGCTATGAATCTTATTTTCTCAACAGATTGGAAGGTAGATGGAGGAGGAGCTGGTGTAATTTAGGATAATTGCCCCACATTGCCTTTTTTTTTAAACTCTATGAGAAAAGCAGTTATGTGGAAAGCAATAACAGCAACTTAAGCATCCTAAGAAATTCTGGGTAAATGAAGGAATACCGACAGAAAACCATGTGACTTTTATCTGTGTGTTTTGGATACTAGATGCTTGAGCGTAAATTGGATGTTTCCTCTATTTTCTAACACAGTGATCTATTTCTTTGTCACCATATCAATGTCTTTCACTGCTGTAAATTGCTGCAAATCTTCATGTTTTTGGAGTATTTATTACAGAGCTGCTAACCGCAGACTTCTAAAGAAGAGTCTGCAAAAGAAGGTGGTGACCTTTCGCCGTTCGTTAACCTTTAGGCTGAACATCCGACATTGCTCCTATGGTCCTACGACAGCGATAATCAGCTTTTGATTTGTTGTTTGAATCCGGTTCTGGCCAATAACAGTGTTATGAGCCATGCACACGCAGATGTGGCCTGGTGTGTGACATTAGTGGGGGAAAAAGTACACCAATACATTTTGCTTTGCTTATTTTGACCAACACTTGGTTCCAAAGCTTCACTGCTCCCTGAAGTGATTTTGTTGTTTGGTGATCTCTGTTTTCTTAAGGGTTCTAGTGTTTCCTAGAACGTTCCCGTAGTGGAAATCATTTCTGACCATGACTGGACCATGACTGAGACCTGTAGATCTTTAGATGCTGTTCTGGCTTCTTTTGTGACTTCCAAGATGAGGCATGATTTGAACTGTCTTCCTCCCTTTATAAATTAAATCATCATTTGATAACTCTTTATTCTGTTTGCTCAGGTTACCATTCTCAGATATTTGATATTTAAGTGTGACATATCTGTAGGAGGGAAAACGCGTAACTACAAACTGTGTACATCTATGCCTTCATCAACATATAAAATTATAAATAAGAAATGAATGACTTTTTCTTTTGAGTTTGGATGAATCTCTTGCCCGTTGGCGATGCATTCAAGGACCAGAAACTTTATTTTGAGCTGAACCTGTACAGCTTGCAGATCCAGTCAAAGGAACTAGTTCAAAGGCTCAAACTTTGCTGACACTATCTGATAAGAAAAGCAGTCAGGATTCCTCCAACCAGCAAATCCTTTCTAAGGTTTAGGAGGATTAAGACCTCCTCCAAAGAGTTTCTTGGAGATGGGGATGTAGAGAATAGTGTGATGGTGCGTTTTTCAATGCAATTACCCTCACAAAGATGGGAAGATGGGATGTTGTAACAAACGGAAATGGTCCAGAGGAACTGCACTTGCTTAGAGATTGAATGAAGAGAACAGCTGGGCTCCAGTCTGGAATTGTCTGACATGCACTGTATTTGCACATTTACATTATGCAATACAAAGCAACTTTTTCTTTTTTTTCACCTTGCAATTTCACAGTATAATTTGTTGAGCTAGAAAGCAGAAGAGTTGGAAGCCAGTTGGAATTAGGTCCGAGCAGCTAAGTGCTGCGAAGGCCTATTGTTTTTGTACTGTTTATTATTATTTTTCTTCCCACCTCTTTGGGGGGCTTATCGTATTCAAAAACTCACCAAACTTGATTTTGATTTTTAAGGTCATTGCAAAAATCGCACAAGAAACGGCTCAATAGCGCCACCTAGCAATTTTCAAAGGACCCTTTTCTATTCACTTACTCCATTGTAGACACATGAAATTTAGTACACTTGTAGAGCTCCCCAAGACGCTCAAAATTTACAATTAATGTCATAGTGCAGGTGTAACCCAGGTTAAAATAGCCTTCACTTAAATACAAGCCTTTTCATAACAAATAGTTATAAAATGCATAAATAGGAAATATATACAGAATAAATAGGGTTTAAAATAGTTTCAAATAAATAAATAAATAAATAAAAAAGATAATTACACAGTGTAATTGGTATTCATGTATGATATTTTGTTTGGTTTGAAACTGTGTGAGATATATTTATTTTGTCAGCGGTTGAAACGGTCAGCTGTGAGAAAACAAATCTCTTATTCTGAAGGGTCACATTGACGTATAGTCCAGGTAAGTAGCTCCAGCCAATTGGATTGCTGTGTTTTCTGGCTTTGGGAAGAAGGGGAGAGCGCGAGGCAGAACGAGAAAGAACGAAGAAGCGGAGAGTTGAGCTGAGTGGAGAGAGAAAGATAAGAGCAAACCGCCGATTGTTGACGCTACCAGCCGTTGGGAACTTTTTCTAATTTTTTGGAGGAGGAGCTCTTGAAATTCTTTTATTGACTACATTCGGAGTGTTGTCTACTGGACTTGGTGAGTCAAGAGCTGTATTTTGTTTCTGTGAAGAATATTTGTAAAATTATTTTATTTAATCGAGGCGGAAAGGTAAAGCAACGCCTTTCCATTAGTCTACGTTGAAGGCCGTTGATGTAACGGATGAGCTGAATTAGCGAGTATATGGCTTTATTCAGCACAGAGAAAAGTTAAAATATTTTTTTTATGCTTCTGGTTATTGAACCAGGCCTTTTTAAAGCTTTGCTGGAAACCGGACTGGGAAGATCCGAACCGATTGCCGAATTGGATTCCACGGACGAGAAACAAGATGGCGAGCGGTTAACCCAGGAGCCCTGTAACTGCCGTCCAGCAGGAGCTACGCCCTCTGCTGGACATTTCGAGTCATCGAGATTGGTACGATCTGTCCATGTGTCCTGCTAGAAAAAAGCGGATTCAAAGAACCGAAAATAACCCTTCAGGACCATCATAGAGAAAGACTGGTTTGAAGCATAAGTTATTCAGTTTTTTTTTTTACTGGATTGTTCTATTGTGTTTTTTTTTCTTTTGAGCTGCATTCATTTATATCTTTGGTGTGGAATGTAAAATTTTCTGTTGGGTCTAAAGAGAAACAAGAAATAGTTAAAAATAGGAGATTAAAAACCATAATTTCTTAAAAAGAACTAAACAACTAAAATAGATTTTAAAGGATTAAAATCAATTAGATTAACAGTATTAACTTGAACTAAAATAGATCCATAACCTAGGTATAAATAAATAGTCCTTTAAAACCTAACATTAGGTTTAAAATTCAAACAGGGATAAAATAAGTTAATCTGGAAGAATAGGGAACTATTTTGAATTTGATTTTGTGTCATTGTTTGTCAAATTGTCTGTATTTATGTTGTTATTTTTTTTCCTCTTTCTCAACAAATAATAAGCCGGCAGTTAAATTTACTTTTCCTTGTCTGTGGTCATTTATAAACTTGCATTTTCTACTCCAGTAGCCGAACCTAGCATTGGTCCTATTGTTATTGCTTTTTAACTGTAAACACGTTGTGAGTGTTACACAACTATCACAGGAAGTTGGCCATTTTGGATTGAAGTTCGGATTTTGACCCCATTGTTGATGTTTACACCCTTCGTATTTGATCGAACGTCTCCTAGGGATTTCGATTGATCGGCTTCAAACTTGGTCAGTCTGTTCATAAGGCATGTCCCATCTAAAGTTATCAAAACGGTGAGCTTTTGAGTATGCTGAAGGGGGGTTAGCAGGGGTCAAAGTTCACCTACTCGCCATAGAAAAATAAACTGCTATATCTCCTACACAGAAACTCACAGAGGCACCAAAGTTTCTGTGATTGATCATCATCGGATGTCCTACAATACCCTATGGTCGAATGATGACATCACTTAGGCCACGCCCCCTGAGAACAGGAAGTGTAATGTTTTACTGTGAACGGTCGCTATGTGACCCCTTTGACCTCACCAACATGAAACTGTGCCCAGAGACAGAAGACATGTTGGTGTATTGAGGATTCCAACTTCGACCAGCTTTGATGGAGCAGGTTGGAAAAACTTTGCGAGAGTGTCTGGCGTGACATTTCCCAAAGGAAAGGTTACATATAACCTAAAATGTTATATGTAAGCCCTCAGATTATTTTCGTTGGCTTAAAACACGGAGTAAATGTGGCGTTTTGTGAATAACTGTTATTTACTACCGCAAGTAAATGCATCAATTTGACTTGTCCCTACCTTACTGGTAAGTCAAGTGCAAAATCAAATTCAAGCAATTTGATTGGTTGTGATGGACTGAATTGTACTGGAGCTGTGCCTTTAAGCTAATTAATACGTTCTGTCAGTCAGCCGGCGACCGTTCATGGTCTAGATTCGTTGTATTCCGCTGTGGACTGTAAAATTTTTTTTTGCTAACCAGCTGGAGCTGCTAACTTTTCCTGAACATTTTGCCTGGTTTTTGGAGCCACAGAACCGAACCACGCTAAACCTTTTGCTTGGGTTTTGGAGCTGCAGACCCGAACCACGTTCGTGAGCCGGAACGGACTGTTGGAGCAGTTTTATTGCTGTTCGATTAAAAACTGGTCAATGCTGGTACATGTCTCTTGTTAAACTGCTTTTAAACTGTCTCTATATTCCAAGATTCCACAGAGAGATTCATTTGCGGTTTCAGAAAGTTGAACAAAGACATTAGTGATGGCAGAGAGTTTATATTTCACGACAGAGAGTGTTCTTGAGAAAAGGTGCATGGAGCTAGAGGAGGAGAACGCAATGCTAAAAACAACGGTAGAG